GACTGCCACCAGGCAGCGCTTTCCTGAGACCACCAACACCCAGGTCTCTGCCCCCCCGTGAGAGCCAGAGCTCTGGGGCACTGCCCACAGGGATGTCAGCCCACAGGGACGTCCTCCCTGTACCTTCCCGTGGCTGAGGGGAAGTTCAACATGTTCCCTGCAAAGGGCGGCTCTGGGCTTGTTTTCACACTGAGCTGCCGCTTGCCCTCACGCTGCCCTCCCGGTGGCTTGGCCACATCTGTCTGACGTGCCTCCTCGTTCCCTGGGGTCCTGCCCAACCTGCCTGATCTCTGCCTGCCTGCAGATGTTGCTCGGTCATCACCCGCCTTTGCTCACCTCTTCGCATGTTGCTCACTACGCTGGGGAGGTGGCAGCTGGTGCACAGCTCTTTGTGCGCTGCCTGCCTTCCACCATCTGGAAATGGAGCTGGTGGTCCTAAATATGCTCTGGCTGGGGGCCACCAGTTTTTGATATACGGCAGAACATCAGCTCTGAGCTCAATAGCTTGTGTGGCCTTATTAGCCACAGCGGTCCACCCATGTTTCGGCATCCCCGAGTAGCCCACCATCCCCCAGCTGTAGCCACTGAATGTCCCCCTGGCCCCTGCTGTAGCTGCTGCTCTGCAGAGGAGCAGCAGGGAGGTCGCAGGTATCACAGGGACCTGTCTCTTCTTCCTCCTCTCAGCACTTACGGCTTCCCCACCATTCTCAAAGGCTGCTTTTGAGGCCCAAGGTTCTGCAGGCCCCGGGGCTCTGAGCTGCCCTCACCTCCCTCCAGCTCATGTTGTTCTCCATGCAGGTGTTGAAGGGACACGATGACCACGTCATTACCTGCCTGCAGTTCTGTGGCAACCGGATAGTCAGTGGCTCAGATGACAACACGCTCAAAGTGTGGTCCGCTGTCACTGGGGAGGTGAGCTGTTGTCCGTAGTCATGTCCTAGGCCGCTCCAGGGGCACGCCGAGTCACGCCGGTCCTCTGCATGGCTGCAGGAGTGGGTGGAGGTGTGGGAGGCACGGTGGCCTTTTAGGTGCGTTTATCTTCTTTCTGCAAAGCATAGCTAGGGAGAGGATTTGATAGATCCTGCGGCTGCAGGAGCAGTGGGGAGAGCTGTCTGAAGCTACGAGTCCGTGGTGCAGTAACAAATAAGCAAGAAGTGGCCACACGCAGTGTGTTTTCACTGGCAGTCAGTAAGCATGGATCACCCTCCTGGAGATCCAGGAAGGGCGAGAGGCTTGGTTGGGTTTAGGAAAGCAAGTGATCGTTATCAGGGAGAGGACTCGGGGCGGGGGGGCCCAAGGGAGGGGTTGCTGACCTGAAGATCCTTACCAATCTCTTGCCCGAAGGAAGTCCCATGCTTTGCTTTTCCTTCTTGCTGTGTTGCTCAGCCCTTCCCAACCCGGTGTCTCACGTCGTGTTCTTTGCAGTGTGTGCAGACGCTGGTTGGCCACACAGGGGGTGTGTGGTCTTCCCAGATGCGGGACAGCATTGTCATCAGCGGCTCCACAGACCGGACACTCAAAGTGTGGAATGCAGACACGGGTGAATGCGTGCACACGCTGTACGGGCACACGTCCACAGTGCGCTGCATGCACTTGCATGGGAACAGGTATGGGTGTGATGGCGTCCGGGGCCCGGTCTGGTCTCTGGAACAGGGCAGGTGGAAGTGTAGAAACATTCGGGGCCTAGGCCAGTCTGTGGCGTGGGATGCAGGGCAGGTGAAAAGGCGGAGGTGCCTGGGGCTTGGGCTGATCTGTAGCTGAAAGATGCTGTGTGGAAGAGGTATCCCTGGGGAGGATGAGCTGGGGCTGCTCCTCAGGGAGCTCATGTGTCGGGGGTTATCTCCGTTAGGCGAGGGCCAGACCCGAAGTCCCGGCCCCGACACAATCAGGCTCCAAGCATGCCCTTGCCTGCAGGGTTGTGAGTGGCTCGCGGGATGCCACTCTGCGCCTCTGGGACATCGAGACGGGGCAGTGCCTGCATGTGCTGATGGGGCACGTGGCTGCCGTGCGCTGCGTGCAGTACGATGGGCACAAAGTGGTGAGCGGTGCCTACGACTACACGGTGAAAGTGTGGGACCCTGAGAGCGAGAGCTGCACCCACACACTGCAGGGACACACGAACCGCGTCTACTCGTTGCAGGTGAGACCCTTCCCTCCCGCCTGCTCATGTGCTACAGGGACACAAGCCATGCCTGTGCCCGCATGTCTCCCCACCCCATGCCTGTGCAGCAGGGACACACAGGCCATGTCTGTTCCCTGCCAGTGAGACACTCTGCCCCTCCACCCTGACCCCCCCCCACATGCACTGCGGGAACACACGCCCCATGTCTGCCTCTTGGGGGGGAGACGCTGCCAAGCACACGTGCACCCTGATTAGCCGAAGGGCACGTGGGACTTCACCTGCCGTGCCCCGAGTCTCTGACACCAGGCTGCGAAGAACACTTCTCCCCTTTCTGGGCAGGCCGTGCTGATCTGTGTCTCTCTGGGCAGTTTGATGGGACACACATCGTGAGTGGCTCTCTGGACACATCGATTCGAGTGTGGGACGTAGAGAGTGGAAACTGCCTGCACACCCTCATGGGGCACCAGTCGCTCACGAGTGGCATGGAGTTACGTGACAACATCCTTGTGTCTGGGAATGCTGACTCCACGGTCAAGATCTGGGACATCAAGACGGGCCAGTGCCTGCAGACACTGCAGGGTGAGTGCAGGAGGATGGAACAGCTCCCCTCACTCAGGCGTCAGAGGGGGTCGTGTTGCTCCTGGCTGCCAGACATGGCCGGGGCAGATATGTCCTAGCAGTGGGTGCTCCTGAAGGGGTTGGGGCTGAGGGTGGGAGCACAGGACTAACAGACACGGTCTGCTTCCAGGGCCCAGCAAGCACCAGAGTGCTGTGACCTGCCTACAGTTCAGCTCCAAGTTTGTGGTGACCAGCTCAGACGATGGTACCGTCAAGCTCTGGGACCTCAAGACGGGCGAGTTTGTGCGCAACCTGGTTGCACTGGAGAGTGGGGGCAGTGGGGGCGTAGTGTGGCGCATCCGTGCCTCCAACACCAAGCTTGTGTGTGCGGTGGGCAGCCGCAATGGCACGGAGGAGACCAAGCTGCTGGTGCTGGACTTCGATGTGGACCTGAAATGAACCTGGCCAGTCCAGGCTGGGATGGAGGATCCCGCGGGCTGGGCATAGCAGCTGGTCTTGGTGGGGCTGGCCCCAGAGCAGGCGCTAGCCCCCCCGCGGGCTGTAAATACCGTTGCAGCTGTCTGGGCCTTATTTATATATGTGTGAACTCCCTGTGGGGAGCCTGTGCCCAGCTGGGGCACTGTACAGAGGAAGCAGCATGTTTTGTACACACTAATATATCGATTTATTTCTGTACCTGGGGCCGCCTTCTCCACTGCTGCTGTTCCCTGAGCCCTTCCTTCCTGGCCCCCCCGCGGGCTGTAAATACCGTTGCAGCTGTCTGGGCCTTATTTATATATGTGTGAACTCCCTGTGGGGAGCCTGTGCCCAGCTGGGGCACTGTACAGAGGAAGCAGCATGTTTTGTACACACTAATATATCGATTTATTTCTGTACCTGGGGCCGCCTTCTCCACTGCTGCTGTTCCCTGAGCCCTTCCTTCCTGGAGCTTGTCTTTTCTGGGAGAGCAGTTGGTGGCTGCAGCCCATCCCGCTTGACTCCAGGTAGAAATAGGGAGGGCACAGGCTTTCCTCAAGTCACTCACCTCGGGGACCAGCTCTCTTCCTGCAGAGACATGCCCTTGTCTGCTGGAGTGCCCTCTGCCTGGAGTCCCACAGTCTGTGGGCTCCAGCTTCTTTACTCTGGGCGCGGTAGCGGGCTGGCAGTGTGCACAAGGTGCTGAGCACACAGCGCTGGGGAGACCTGGCAGGACAGCACCACAGGTAGCACAGCGTGACGGCCAGCCAGGTGTGTGGGCTTGCAAAGCTGTCCTAGGGAGATGTAGCCCCGATGTTGTGCCTGGGAGGGAGCAGTGCTGTGAGCAGACGTGTTTTTCTTTTCTGCACTGCTCTGATCCAGCTCTGATCGAGCAGCAACCAGCTGAGCAGCACCGGGAAGTGGGCCGCAGGGAGGTGAGACAGCAGGAGGTATGTCAGTGGTGGGGAGGGTAGCACTACGTGCTGGCCCAGCTCTTGTGACCTGCCAAGGTGCCCCGAAGCAGTGCTGGTGGGAGGTGGCATGGGTGCTGGAAGGCAGAGGTGGGAAGGCAGCACAGGCTGCCCTGCCATTGCACCCCGGCACGTGCCTCCCCCTGGC